CTCTCATGGCAATGAACCTTGTCTAGCAGGGGCCAAAGGGAAAACTCATAAAATGGGTGGATATGATCATTTACAAAAGGTGGTAGAGTTATGCAGCTAAAACATTTGGCTCCATTCACTATATGTGATTTCCCACATTTTCAGAGATATACTTCGTAGTCTTCGTCACTGAGAAAAGAGGTAGATCTCAAAGATGAACAAATGGAAATGGAACATAGATTAAAAGCCATATCTATGTAGTAAACATGAATCAATTTAGGTTGTTGACTAATAATTTGCCTTGCCTTTTATCAGAAATGGCAAATAGATCTATTTGCCAAGTTGTTAGATGATAACAAACTTAAGTGTGAGACACTTGAAGATTTGGGGTTGTCCAGTACATGTTTAAAGAACTAGTGCTAACAAATTAGAATCAAAGACCAGTCGTTGCCTATTTGTAGGTTACTCCAAAGGCTCTGTAGATACTTATTCTGTGATCCAAAAGAGCAAAAGGTGTTTTGCAGTCGAAATGCCTATTTCATAGAGGAAGAGATTGAGGGCATAGAAGAGATGTCCCACCAGCTCTAGAAAATAACCAACGTAGAAGATCTACTCGGGTTTTCAGTCCTCCAGTTCGTTACGACTATGACCAAGAAAGTTACTTAATGGAAGCCACGACCAGTGGGGAAGATCTCGTGACTTATACGGAAGCTATGTTGGACATAGATTCTTTGAAGTGGGTAGATGTCATGAGAGCTAAAATGAACTTAATGGAAACCAATGGAGTCTGGACTCTAGTATATCCGCCACTTGGGGTAAAAGCAATTGGTTGCAAATGGATTTATAAGAGGAAGAAGGGCCCCGATGGTAAGGTTGAGACCTACAAGGCTCATCTTGTGGCGAAAGGGTACACTTAGAAAGAGGGAATCGACTATGAGGAAACATTTTCGCATGTGGCCATGCTTAAATCCATTAGGATCTTGCTAACTGTAACAGCATACCATGACTACGAGATTTGGCAAATGGATGTCAAAATTGCGTTCCTGAATGGAGATCTTACTAAAGATATCTATATGCAGCAACCGCAAGGTTTCATAGTTATAGGTCAGGAACACATGGTATGTAAACTTAATTAGTCTATATATGGAGTTAAGCAAGTTTTTAAGAGCTGGAACATCCGGTTTGACTCTACCGTCAAATAGTTTGACTTTGAGTAGAATCCGGATGAGCCTTATATTTACAGGAAGACTAGTGGGGATAAAGCTATGTTCTTGGTTCTGTATGTAGATGGCATTCTACTCATTGGGAATGATATAGGAATGTTAACTACGGTGAAAAGTAGCAAACAAGGGTCCACCGTAGATTCCACAACCGAGGACGAGTACATTGCCGCAAGTGAAGCTGCCAAGGAAGTCGTATGGATGAAGAAGTTCATTCAGGAATTAGGAGTAGTTTTATCCAGTACATCACCCATTCCATTGTTATGTAACAACACTGGAACCATAACTCAGGCTAAGGAGCCATGAGCCCACTCGAAGTCGAAGCACATCGAGAGGAAGTACCTTGTACTACGGGAGATAGTTAGAAGAGGGGACGTCCTGATTCAGAAGGTGGCATCAGCGAAAAATGTAGCAGACCCATTGATTAAGCCACTGACACAGAAAATGTTTGAGAAACACGTGGAAAGTATGAAACTCTGGCTTGTACTCGATTGGACGTAAGTGTAAGTGAGAGCTGTTAGACAGTGTATGCTCTTAGCTCCAATCAGATTTATGTACATTATGTCATTTATTGTAAATGAATAAAAGGGCATAATTGATTCATGTGATTTGGTGTGTTTCTATGTAAATACCCATAAACTTGACACTTATAAGACTCGTGTTAGTTTATAATCTTCTTACCCATTGGATAGATTTGGGGAGATTTATCCTGCCAAGGCTGACACTGATGTGCCGCCAAGTTTGTTGGGGTAGCTTGTTTCAGCTGCCAGGGTGAGACCTGAGGTACATGCAGTGTGGGTTTTCTTGAAACCTTGAACCGAACCAGAATTCCAATATTGCCTTGGACCTTGGAGATTGATGGGCAAAACTAGAATGTTACACCTGACCTCTAATCTCGATTATGATACTGCACTAGGTGTCAAATTGGATTGTCTTTAATATGCCAATCAATGAGATCTTTAGAGGGGGTCAAAACCTAAGTATGTTGGGACAGTCCAATAATTCATCTGAGTGGGTGATCATAGTAACGGGATCAGCCCCTTTGTCGGACAAAGTGAATGGTCGAGGATGCACTATCTCTGATGAAAACCAAAACTACTAGCAGTTGATTTCAACCGTTGAAATTTGTTTTGCAAAATATATTTATATATATATATATATATATATATATATTATGGTTTCAAATTGTTTGCAAAAGGGCATTAATTCCCAGGATCCATATGAATAGAGAGTGCAACACTGTACCATGTAGCCGAAATAGAGGTCCTCTCTTGTCGGGTAGTATATGATCATTAAGGGCTGAGAAGTTAAGTGTAAGACCATTGAGGATAATACCTGATAGGCTAATCTTGCATCTGCCCACAGTCATTGGGTTATTAGGTGGTTAGATTGAATGACCATTTAGTGTAAATGTTAGATCCATTAAGAGCCCGTGGTGATGGACTCAGGGGTTCACTGTGTCCTACAGTGAATTCGGCCAGGCCTTATAATAAAGGCTGGGCTAAACCCATGTGGCTGATGTATAGATCGATGTTAAGGCCCACGCCATATAAAGAAAGCCAAGTTAGCCAGTATATTAAAGGGTAAGTGAGCCATATGACTTAATGGGCTTAAAGCCCATTTCAAACTGGGCTTAAGTCAATTAATTAAAAGGGGGCGAAATCTGAATTATAACCTGATTAGGATTAGCTGAAGGAAAAGATAAGACTTATCCATTTAAGAGTCCAGATCTGAATTTCATATTTGGATCAAGAAACTCCTTCCTAATTGGATTAGGAGGCTAATACAAAGAAGGCTTTAAATAAGGGGTGAATTCTTCAATTTATATACACTCAGCAATCTGTAGAATTCTCCCCAATTCTTGCAGCCCCTACCCAGTTCAATTTCCACCTGTGGAACTGATCAAGAAAGATTCTTGATATTGTTTCTTGCTAAAAGAAACAATCTGAAGTCGTGAACAGGTGGGAGTTACTGTTACTTCGTATCAGGTATATCCCTTACTTCCCTTTTGGTTTTAGATCTGGTCCGGTTTTGATTCAACAAACGAACCTTGAAAATGTAGTTTTTTAAATTATGGAATATGATTCTTTAATGGGAGAGAAAGAAATTTTTGAAATTTTGTCCAACCTTCCTGTAGGGTTTGGCCATCCATATGGTGGATCTCCCATCCTATCGGGCTACTGGTTCTGTTTGCTAGCATTTTGGCTGGCATTCTGCCCAACAGCCTAATCTCACTAGTATTGTTGTTGTTGTTATTGTTGTTATTGGTGTTGTTGTTGCATCCATGCCAAGGCGACAAAGCGTCCTTCCCATGTCCTCATCTGCAGGTTTATCCCATGGACGTACTGCATCAATTCGTTGAACTGGCGTGCATCAATCCCAACAGGAACTACTGAGGGCTCGACTAGAGGGAGATGCGCATTCACGTTGGGTAGAGGAAAGTTGGGATTTTGCATGATGGGGATGCCTAGTAGGGTCAGGGGCACGATAAATTGCCCAAAGGGGATCTCGAGGTGCACTACGGGTTGGTTCTGCCCCCTGTGACTGGGTTATTGTTGACAGGGTTGTTGATTGGGGTGTTGCTTGAAGATGCCATTGAAGAAGTACTTGGAAAAGAAAGTGTGAGAGTATGGCTTTTGTGTAGCTTTCCCACAGACGACACCAATTGATGGTACACAATCTGTTAACTCCCTGCTGAAGGACAGCTCGGATGCCGGATTAGGTAGGTCGTTAGTTTAAGCTGTAAAGAAATAGAGAATATCAAAGTACCTTGGCTACTTTACTCGGTGTGGGCACTCCGATGCTTAAGTTATCGAACTGAAGTTTTTCTGAGAGCTTGGAAGTAAAAGGGAGCTAGAGAGCTTTAGTGTTAAATTACGCGTATGCTTTTGAGGTTGGAGGTGAGGCCCTTATATAGGCGGGCTGCCATGAGCCTCACGAAACGCGTCCGGGATCTCCAGCCTGTCTAGTTTGCAGGTGGTTTCATGCTTGGGGATGGACTCCGTGCAAGCAGGTAATGTTTATCCAATCCCGTCCAAAGCGGGTAGGGTGATAATCTGCTCTTCCAACATGGTGTCATGATCCTAGGGAATTCAGAGGCAATAGTCTGCTTAAGGGTGAGATCTCTCGGCACACCAAGCAGGTCGCTAACCAGAGTGAGGTCAGATTGGTGGAAGCAGGTCGCCTCTCACACCGACCTAAGGTCCTGCCAAGCTGTTCATAGTTCGGTCTATTGGGGTGGTACCAAGGTCGCTAAAGTGTCCGAAGTGGTCTACTTGTGTGGTGTCGAGGTGTCACTATGCTATTCTACAATGCCACGTATCGCAATATCATTAGAGGACCAAATTACCCCTCATCGACCACTTTTGAAGGCTAATATCCTTCCCAGATATATTCTAGCTCAATTCTTGAAGCTTTATTGGTTTTTAGGGTCCATTTGGTTTGCAAGAATGGGGGTCTGGAATCTGAATTGGGATGAATCATTCCGATTCTAACTATTTGGTTGGGTGGAATTAGAATCTTATTCTTGTTGTCATTTGAGGGAATGGTTATTTCCCCTGCGTGGAAATGAAATTCCATTTCAGAATATTCTAAATTTCATTTCCATTCCTGTCTGAAATTTTGGTTCTAATTTCAAGGAATTTGAATTTCGATCCCAATTCTAACTGTGAGCCAAACGTACCCTTATCGTCCATTTCAATTGCACGATACATAAGTAATTATTTTTTGCATATTGTGCCTAATGCAAAATATTTGGTTTGAACTAGAGCAACAACACAAGATAACTAATTAAAGATCGAGTTCAATGAAAGTTGATGGCCCTATGCCCTGTCTCAGTTCTCAATAGGCTGCCAGAAGCCCTTAAAAAAGTCATGCATTTGTGATAATTCTCTCAAAGAAGGAAAAGAAAGAAAAAAATATGACTACAGTAGTAGCGACTAACAAATGGAATGCATAATTGAATCCTTGTCTGACAAAGAATATCAATAAGGAAAGGATATATAAACTATAAAGTGGAAAGAAAAACGATGAATCATTAACAATTAGGTCTATTTTAGACCTGGGCATCATCCACACAAGAGCAATCGTTGCTCGGCTTAGGCCTTGGCCACAACAGAGCAGCTCCGTCTACTAGACGTATGAGCCCCTTTACCAGCCTTACCCAACCAACTGTGACCGTCATGTAATACAACCACAAACCAAAGATTTCGGCATTACCCACATCCATCAACAGCTCTCTCTTAACCTCAACCACCAGAGCCAATGCTTCAACCTCGGCCCTTAATTTCCACCACCACAGCCCACCGAAACAGCCGCCCACGGCCACCCTTTCGACCCATCTTTCGTCCCTCTCGAACCCAAAAACCGTGTCGTCCACAACTGGTTTGACAACCGTCCTCGACCAATGAAGCATGGTTTGGTACAGACCCAGAAAGAAAACTAACCGTCTTATCAGCGGAGTCCTGTTCCCGTAGTCGACCGCCCAAAATCCGGCCACAATTGTCTCTTCGAGGCCTAATCCAACGCAGACCTGCAGAGAGCAAAGCAGAACCCATGCCGCATATAAGCGGGGTCTGCTGACTGACTCGCTCAGTGAAGGGAATCGGCCGGTGAGGCCATGCACAAGGGCAGATACGGAAACAACAGAAACAAGAAATTGAACAAGAAGAGGATTGATGGCATACAGGAAGAGAGAGGAGAGGGTGGAGGTGGGAGAAGAGGTGAAGCTGGGGATATGTTGTCCAGTGGAGAGCCTGGCTAGTAGGAGGAATGAGAGAGGAAGAAGGAGGCTTAAGATGGTGTGGGTGAAGATGTAGAAGGGTTCTGCCAGGATTGATAATGCGTCGAAGTTGAGCTTCTCGCTCATTTTCTTCCATTTCTCAGAACCCATTAACTCCAAATCGATAACTCAGGTTGTTTGATTCAGAGGAAACACAGAAGATGCATATTTATGCATTCATTTCATGCAATCATATGTTTGAGAACTGGATGGTGGTAGCGACGACCAGGCTTTCTGTGTTTGTATCTTCCTGCACATCATCATCATCATAAAATAATAACAACAATGAATCCTTTTCAAGTAATCAAGGTGCTGCCTGCTGGCTGATCGATTCTCTCTTTCTCTCTCTCTCCGATTTCAGCGTAAGACTTTGGATGGAAATCTGGAATCCGAGTTTCGTTCATCAGAGTTCTGGCCGTTTGATGTCAGATTCTGATGCAGCGTGGAAGCCTGCTAATTCCGCGTCAGCAGTCCATTGTATAATACCCTCGAAGGAGGTCTTTTTTACCGTAAGTACTCTGGATTGGTTTGACTCCGATTAAAGACTGTTTTGAAGAACTTTGCCAATCACAACTCAGAAACCCGTCGTGAATTTTGATGAAACACCAGTAGATTCATTTTTTTTTTTTTTTGATAACTAAAAAGACATATCAGTTGATTGGTTCTCGGTTTTTTTAAGGTATTATTCATTTTTCGATATCATAATCGGACTATGTTATTAAACGTTTTTCTTAATTTCTCGTTCTAATTGTTAATCGGGATTTGGTGCGAATACATATATACCATGTGACCAAACATATACATGGGGCCCACACCACATTTGGATTTAAGTCCAACCAACGCGTTTTGTGTTTAAAAAAGTAGGGGGTTGGGAAAAATCCTGTACAGCCTTTTCGTCTGCACAGAGAATGAGTCTCATTTTTGTTTCTTTTTCCCTGGTTTTTCATTTTTTTTTCTTGTTCCTTCTATTGATTGTTCATAAGCTTTGTGTGGGTTTTCCTTTAGAATGAGGAATCTATATTCTATTTATATACTTAAAATACAGTTACCACACAGCTTATTCTCTCTTCTACTCGTATTTTAATTTTCCAAATCCCTAAGAATTTTGTGGTTCTTTTGAATTAAAAATAAAATAAAAAATGGGGCTATTTTTTCCTCCCATTGTTGTGGTTCATAACTAAAAATTTTGTGATTTCTTTTTTGAAAAATAAATACCCATAACATAAACATGATGAGATTACAGTTACATTTGGTTGCAGTGCAATCTTATTTGTACTAGTACAAATGCATGGGAGTGCAAATGATAAGAATACAAATTCTGGTTTAATTTTATTTTGGATTTTATTTCATTTTGTTTCACATCTTATTTTACTTCATTTGTACTGTAATCAAATATAATAAGATAAAATGTGGAACAAAAATATATCAAAATTTGCACTCAAATCATTTGTACTACAACCAAACACAGCCTACAGATAAGTATTAAATGTTTCAATTTGCCTTGGAAAGTGAAAGATGATGTATCTATTAATTTTTTTTTTTCAAAATTTTGTCAAATCTTTAACCCTCAAGCCATAATGCCTCGTTAAATCTCTCACCAATCCTTTTTTTTTTATTTTTTGATAAATTATTCCATTGATTACATACAAAACATTTTAAATATATGCCCTGCATTGAATGAAGTTAATCGACCCACCCAAGGTGGCCCTACCCTGTACTCCTGTAACATATCCATGTACCATATGCATATTCAGCTAGTGAGCATTGATATTTTAAAATCGAAAAATTAAATCGAAAATTTCAATCAGTTTATTTATTTTTTGGTTATTTCAGTTTAATTAATTTGATTTTTAAAATAAAAAATTTCGTTAACCCAAAACATTGAACTAGCCAAACTTTTATATATAAAAATGAAATTTTGTTTTAGCTAAAACAACCATAATTTGTTATCAAAATTTAGGTTTCAATTATTTCAGTTTTGGTTCGATTTTCCCTTAATTTGGTTTAATTGTTCTTTTTTCTTTTTCAAATTAGAGTGGTTTTCATTCATCACATGGTCCCAACGTTTTCAGGCTGCACATTTTGTCATTGAATTTTCTATAATATTGGAAAAACGTGATATCCAAAAAATTTGTAACCAATCAATTGGTATTGATGGTGCGCAATCTAACACTCCCTACTGGTAGACAACTTGGATGTTGAATTGAGGTCGCCTGGTCGATCTGCAAGGAGATATCATTGTCTGGGTTGCTTTATTCAAGGTGGGCATTCCGATGCTTAAGTCAACCATAAGTTTTTGGAGAGCAATAAAAGGGGAGCTAGTATGCTTGATAGCTAAATTGTGCCTACCTTTTTTGAGGAAAGAGAGGTCTTTATATAGGCAAGCTACTGTGAGGCTCATGAAATGCATCCGAGATCTCCAGTCTGTCTGATTCGGAGGTGGTTTCACGCATAGGGGTGGACTCTATGTAAGCGGGTAGTGCTTATTTAGTCGCGCCTGAAGCAGGCAGGGTGATAACTGGCTCTTCCAACGTGGTATCATGATTTCAGGGAAGTTGGAGATGATAGTCTGCTTAAGGAGGAGGTCGCCAACTTGTTCTCAATTAGGTCAACAAGGTCTTGGGGGAGGTCGCCCTTAGTGCCGAGGTCCCTAGCTCAGTCGTGACGAGGTCGCCACTTGATTCTTCATCTGGTCGGCGAAGGTAGGTCGCCTCTTTTACCGACCTAGTCCTATCGAGATCTTATGTTGTTAAGTTGGCAGAAGTAGGTCGCTAGCCGAGTCTTCATCAGATCGGCGAAAGTAGGTCGCCAACTAGGTCTTTGTCAAGTCAGTGGAGGTAGGTCGCTAGCTATCTCTATCAGGTCGGCAGAGGTAGGTCGCCAACTGGGTCTTTGTCAGGTCAGTGGAGGTAGGTCACTAGATGTCTCTATCAGGTCGGCGGAGGTGTAGGTAAGTCGACCACCACATCATGCAGGTTGCTACTTGAACCTCAGTCTGATCAGTGAGACCTCAGCGGGAGGTCTCCCTTCGTGTCGAGGTCTCAAGCTTGGTCCTAAGGTGGTCGTCCCGATATTGGCTAAGGCAAATCATTACCTACATGGTATCGGGGTCTCATGCGACGATTTTGGGATCATCACAGGGCACATTGTCACAAAAGGGCCAAATCTGTCCTTATCAAATATCATAAACATGTTAACCAATTAAGTAAAATTTATCAAAATTCAAAGATGAATTTTGATTGAAAAGTTCTTCGGATACAATGTCTTTCAACATCATAAATTTTCCCTCTCTATTTCATCTTTTTTTTTTTTTCTTTTTTACCAATTGATGGTCTCATTTAGGAGATCATCTACACTAACAAGAATGATCATTATCAAAACATTTTGTATGTTTAAACTTTATAGTATGTTTCTGTATGCATTTTACAAATTAATATGACGGCATCTAAATTTATTAAAAAATATAGTATAAAGTTTAAATGCACGCACGATTTCTTATTTAACCTATTTTGTCCAAATCAAATCAAAATGGAAGAGCAAGATCAAAAGTCAGAAAGGCAGAGCTCCATAAACTAATATCAATTCAACATTGACCTTTTATTTCCAAATTAAATTCCTCTCAACAACTCGTGTGATAGCTTGGACATCAAATCATTTCTGTGACTAAGAAAATGGCATTCTTTTATTCAGTCAGAGGAGTGGACTAGCAAAAGAAGCTTGATCTATAATCTTATCACTTGCTGATATCACACATGAAGACACGTCAGTCATCCCTTTGATTTAACGGACAGGATTGAGGGCATTTCATGGTATTGCTTGAATATTTGCATAAAGAGCAAACAGAAGGAGCAAAGTGTTTTCATCTCTATGAATATGATATCACATTTCATAATTATGGCAAATAATGTCATGTCAATCAAATTCAGAGGAATAACCCATGAATTTAATTAATTAATTTTTCTTCCTTTAATTTCTTAATCAAAATTGAGGCCATTTGTCTTTTTGTTTTTAAATTATGCTTGATGGGTAATTTTATCTCATTAGTTTTAATATTTTTTGAATGAATTTACATATTGAAAAGATAAATATCACTTATCCAGATAAATAATACACAATTACTGCAATATCTACATTTACCAAAACATAATCCCAAGAATAAAATAGGTCCTCCCCAATTTATCAAAAAACAAACACCCCCTTAGTATGATGCCAATAGCAGATTCGGGTGCAAATGGGCCCGGATTAAATCACAAGGTGATAAATCCTAACTTAACCTGGTCATTAATTCAATGGGGTTAACCCTAATCTAACCTAATTTAGAATTCCTAAACCCTATCAGATTGGGTTGGGTTGGCCTAGTTTCTTTACTTTTTCTTTTTTCTGATTTTTGAACAAACACTAAACAGATTGAGAGTTGGCTTATCAGAAAAAGAATTTAGCTGATAAAGGCCCTATTTTTAAACCAAATATTAATCTGACATATGGGTTTTTTAATTCCTTGAACACAAATTTGATTTCAATTGACCTTGATCACAACTCTGTTTCCTGTGGGCAGTAACTGAATCAAATTCGAGGGACACAAATCCACCAGCGAACTCCCCCATTTCAGTCTTTTGACTGAAGAATCAAAGTGCCCTATCTATCCTGAGAGACTGCTCGCCCACACAGATTCAGGTTTATCTCATGGTTCAAAGATGTTATCATACCGTATCATATGATTTATGATATGTGTTAGTTTTCAACATGGCTAATATATAGGGTTATAAACGGATCAGATCCATCTACATCTGCATCCGATCTAGTTACAAAACCACTATATTGGATCTGAAATCCGATATGTCGGATTTGAATCAGATTTGTATTTAATTTGCATCCAATCTATTGTGTTTAAAATAATAAAAAAGTTTAAAAAGTCTTAAGTCTTGGCCATTTTCGACGGCAGACTTTGGTGAAAGGGCCACCTTATAGGCAAAAATAGACGATGTCTGTGACGACATCAATAGCTCCATTTGAGACTGAATAAAATAATTCAAAAATGCTGACGTTGCATGCCTAGTCAGCAACCTATGGGTTTATCAGTGGGTCCCACACATTAATCCTGCCCGTTACAAACATGTATATGTCACCCTTAATAGAAAAGAAAACCATTAATTTCAGGGGAAAAAGAAGATTCTAAGAGCTCCTGGTCGTCTTCTTCACCTCCGACCAAGAGTTATAGAGGAGCTTGCATTCTTATTCTTCTTCACTCAACTACAGTCTGGGTTTTCTTGAAGTTTGAGACATTCTTACGATTTTGAAGCTTTTCTTCTTCATTTGAGGCATCCCTTTCTCCATCTCCTCATTTCGAGTGATTAGACCCTAAAGCCACATCATAGTTGTAAAAGAAATGGAAAGATCTTTATCCTCAACCCCAAGTTGTCGGTCTCGGAGCTTCGACTATGAAGAGCCACCTATATTCTGTCATTGTTGTTAGTGATGTATGGAATAAAAGTAAATGAACAAATAAATCAAAAGGTTTAAGAGTTTCAACTACTATTCTTTTTGTTACATTTTGGAAGAATGTAAGAATTGCCCTTTTAGCTTTCCAACC